ATTCGCGCAATGTGGAGTAAACTGCTGGGACTGCCACTGCCATTCCAATCATGGTAAACGTTTATGCGTAATGCATCGCAGATGCCTACAGAAAACCATGAACACTTCGCGATCTCGTCATAGTAGTACTTATACTCTCTGTGGTAGTCGAACTCTGGAGTGTAAGTTGCCGCTGACTTGCACGAGTGGTGATCTCGCCTTAGTAGCTGATGGCGTCTCCATCTTATTCTTCTTGATGATATCCTGTCGCTCCTCCTTGGTCTTCTTCTTGGCTGCAGTACAGGTAGGATCATGCTGTCGCTGAAGCCGTCCAGCTCGAAGACTGTCTGCGAGGAGTTGCTTCGCCGCTAACTTCGTGAGACCATCCGCATGCTGCCGCTCTGATGAAACCCACTTCCATTGCGTCTGTGTAGCATCCATCCGTTCTCGTAGTGCCAGTACCTCGATGCCGGTGCGCTTGTCCTGAAAGCTGGTGATGATATCCTCCTTGGTTGCGTCGTAGAGCGCCTTCGCATCGATCGCGAGTGCTGACTCTCCTGCGTAGCGTGTGCTTTCGTCAATGTTGACATTCACGTTGTCGTAGATGAGAGCTGCGCAGAATCGCTTCGCGAATTCTAGTGCGTCCATGCCTGCTGCCGCTGCTTGGGATTCTGCAGGTAGTAATGACCTGTCTAGTCTCATCAACATGATAGACTTCCAATCAACGGCGCAGAAACCGAAATCCTCGCCGTGAAGTACTTTCGAGTGACATGCCACAATCACATAATCTCCTTGACTAGATCCGTCCTGTCGTACTCCGCAAGCTGCGTCCGTCATCGCTACGAGCACGATGTCGCTGACCTTGCCAATCTTCTTCATATTGAGACCGACGTCCGCGTTCTGCTTGTAAAACCTTAGCGTCTTATTTTCCTCTCTTGCTGTCGCCACCGTCGCCGTTGGAAGTTGCCATTGGTGAATGCTGACCGAGACTGACGCATGTGGGCATTCTTGCGAACTTGGCCACTGTAGAGCTCCAAGTAGTCCTCGAAGTTGGCGTCTCTCCTTTGGCGTGAGTAGTCGGTCGTTGTTGCTGTCCCTCTGATCAATAGTGATCGGTTTGAGGTTGGAGGCGTAGGATTGCATCTTGATGTTGATCTCAGTGCCGTTGGAGTGCTTGTGTCCCAGTGATTGGTCTGGTGTAGGTCCAATCCACAATGCTCAATTTTGTCCTGGTCGATCCACTTCCGAAACTTGAACTTGCTCTTGACTCCTCGATGATGTTGCTGTAGTTGCTGCGGGGTTTGCGATTTCCTCCTCCGAGCATGTCGTCTACGTAGCTAACGAGGAGGCATGGGTCCAGGGGGTGTTGCTTGAGCCCGCTGGCCTTGAGGTCATCAACTGCTCGTTGCCACCAACGTCGTGGTCCGTCCACGTGTCCGTGCATAGGCTTGATCAGCTTCATGGGCGTGTCCTGCTCGATGCCCATGCGGTTTGCTGCGTCTCGTGGTACTTTGGCGTAGGGTTTTCGTTCTTGCGGCCGTCCCTGTAGGAGTGCGGTTGCCACGTCCGCTGTCCACAATCTCATGAGGCCCCGTCCCCCAAACCGATTTTGGCAACGATTTTGTAAATCCCCCGCCAGATGTTTTTTGTATTTTCTGTTTTTTTGTTGAGAATTGTTCATCAGCTGCTGTCGCGTTGCCGACGTGCACCCCAAGTTGGGCATCTGCGTTGCGTGCTGTGCCGCGTGCGCGGTGCAGCGCGGGTTGTGCCGTTCGCGCGGCGCCCCGCGGTCGGCGCCGAGGTTGTGGCGTTCCCTCGCGGCGCCGCACGCGAGGTACCGCGAACGCACCGCCGCTTCTGCAGCCGACGTTGAATTTGTGGTGTCGTGTGCCTGGAGTTGCGGGCGCGGTGTTGCGCGCGGTGTTTTTTTTGCGTGCGCGTGCGTGCCTTGTGCGCGGTGCACAGTTCGATGCGCGTCGTGCTGCGTGCCGGCGCGGTACTGTGCAAATAGCGCCACGTACGTGCTGCCGCGCGAGGTACCCGGTGTTTGCGCACGGTGCCGCGTGCGCGGCGCCGTGTGCGCGGCCTGCGTGGTGCCGCGTGCGTGGCGTTGCGTTGCTGGTGCCGCTCACGGAACCTCCGGTCTGTGCGTGTATGAGGTCTTGCCCAAGCGCGCCGCGCCGCGCCATGCGCGGCACGTTGCGCGGGTCGGGTTGCTCGCGTCGCGGAGGTCTCCCGCCATGCGCGTGCGAAGTACACGGAGAGAGCGGGAGAGGATGAGAGGAGAAACGAAGGGGGGAAGCTAGGGAGGAAAGGGGGGTCATGCGAGATGGTAGGCGGAAGGGAGGGAAGAGCGGGGGAGGGATGGGGCGGCAAGGAGGGGAGGTGTTTGGAGTAGGGGCAATCGTGCGAGTGCGACAATTGTTAGCACCCCAGTCGCGAGTGGGCTGCCGGCGGTGCGTTAAGGCCGGGCTCTGGGATAAAATTATCCCGGCAAAGCAACCTAACAGCGATATGTATAAGCATATCTGGAAGCATTCCCCTTAAGATTCAGGTGAGAATCCAGTTGTAGAATTCTGCTGTTCTCGCAGTCGCAGTCGCATTCGCAATGACAGTCGCAGTGGCAACGGCCTTAGGATCCAATGGAATCCTAAGGATTCCTAAGGATTCCTGAGGATGCTTAACTATGCCTACGGATTCCTAAGGATGCCTACGGATTCCTAAGGATTCCTATGGATCCCTAAGGATTCGTATGGATTCCTACGGATGCTTCAACCTGCCTCAGTTTCAGCCTCAGCCTCAGCCTGCCTCGGCTTGCCTCAGCCTCAGCCTCAGCCTGCCTCTGCCTCAGCCCCAGCCTGCCTTCAACTCAGCCTCAGCCTGCCTCGGCCTCAGCCTGCGTCAGCCTCAGCCTCGGCCTGCCTCAGCGTCAGCCAGCCTCAGCCTCAGCTTCAGCCTCAGCCTCAGCCTCAGCCTGCCTCGGCTTGCCTCAGCCTCAGCCTCAGCCTGCCTCGGCCTCAGCCTGTCTTAACCTCAGCCTGCCTCAGCCTCCCCCTCCTCCCCCGCCCCTTCCCCCCCCCCCCATTCAGCCTCACCTTGTCTCAGCTTCGGCCTGCCTCGGCTTCATCCTCAGCCTCAGCCTCAGTATCAGCCTCAGCCTGTCTCGGCCTGAGCGTGCCTCGGCCTCAGCCTCAGCCTGCCTCAGCCTCAGCCTGCCTCAGCCTCAGCCTCAGCCTCAGCCAGTCTCAGCCCCAGCCTGCCTCAGCATCAGCCTCAGCCTCAGCCTCAGCCTGCCTCGGCTTGCCTCGGCCTCAGCCTCATCCTGCCTCGGCCTCAGCCTCAGCCTCAGCCTGCCTCAGCCTCAGCCTCAGCCTCGGCCTCAGCCTCAGCCTGCCTCATCCTCAGCCTCGGCCTGCCTCGTCCTCAGCCTGCGTCAGCGTCGGCCTCAGCCTGCCTCAGCCTCAGCTTCAGCCTCAGCCTCAGCCCCAGCCTGCCTCGGCGTGCCTCAGCCTCAGCCTCAGCCTGCCTCGGCCTCAGCCTGCCTCGGCCTCAGCCTGCCTCAGCTCGGGCATTCAAAATATGGCACAGGACTTGTCTTCAGGGAACACGAA